ACACTTGCTCAATTATATGAAGTGTTTTTATATAAGAAGAAGGATATAATAGCAATTCAAGAAAAACTCGGTATTAACGGCAATGTAAATCATGTAAGAATGCATCAAAGCAAAACAAAACATGAGCCCGAAGGCAAAACACTTGTTGATTCGTATAAGTTATTATTAAATTTGGTGGGGGGTTTAATACCAATACAGAAAAATCTTGACATTGATGGCAATCCCATTCTAGCAGTGGAGTGGTCATTCACCTCCTTAGCTTGAACTTGTAGAACAGATTATATCAAAGAAAAACTACTAGGCTCAACAAAACATCTGGAATTACTCACCTTGTTTCAGTTACTGTTGACAAAGAAGAAAAGCAAACAGCAAAAAGCTCAATGTCAAACAAGGAGTTGATATTGATAATCCAATCATTGATTGAGTCGTTGAATGAAACAAATCGCCCACAGTTCAAAGGATTAGCAATGAAAAAGAATCACATGATTCATTTCGTAGATACGTTGATCATTACAGTATTTAGAAATTCCATATTTGGAAAACTCCCTGACTGCATTTGTTGACAAAGATACCAATGCATAATTTGTTCATATGAAGAGAATTATGAAGAGTTGATAAGTGAGCTTATAAATAAATTGAGATTCATTGGTTTGCATGTACACAGTAGGTGACTTAATAAAATTCATAACTGTGATGCTATGATAATTAGTTATATGGAAGAATAATAATTTTATAATTAATAATTCATGATTAACTTTTCATCATAACTTGGTTATTAATTAAATGATAATGATATTATAAAAAATGTCACATTTGAAATATTTCAATAGGAATTCTGTATTTCAAAATAATAATAATTTTAATAAATAATTTTTAAAAATAAATTTCTTTGCATTTTTTTTTAATAATAATTGTTATGAATCAACCAAAGCAACTTTCTCAACAAATAATTTTTCAGCATTCAACCATACATTTGAATTTGTTCTATTTTGTAATTCCAATAAACTAGGCAATAAATCTTTACTAAATTGTTCACTACTCTCTTTAGGAAGCAAAGTTGGCAAATGATCAATAGAAATAACTTCAAGAGGCTTTGGATTCCTATTATGATGTATATGTGTAAATTAGGATTAATGATCATATATGATTATGATTATGATGATGATGATGATATAAAAAGATGGTAGTTATGAATTTAAAAGAAAAAATTTACTTTGTTTCAATCAATTCTGTTGGATTTTTAAATGTGGTACTAATGTTGTAAACAGGAACAGGGTTATTGAGATTTGTTATATCACAGCTGACATCTACAATCACTGAAAGGTTCCTTTTTTGATCAAGCATTTCTTTTGTAATGAAA